GCTTTAATTCTGCAGTGTGAATACACCCTTAAACTTATTTATGTGCCATCGACTGAATGGGCATACCTTCTTTGGGACCAAGAACTGGATTAGTTACTAATATTTAACTCAGTGGTTCTCAGTTTGTGGGGTGGGACCTCGGGGGATGCAAGGGGGGAATGAGACTTGCAAGCCCTGAGCCCATCTCCTTCTCTTTCTCCCCCCCCCCCAAACCTTTTCTGTCCTAGAGGAGAACAGAAAGGGGAGAAGGGTGCTTGGAGCATCTGCCTGAGGAAGGAGTAAGAGGAATAGGAAAGCTATTTCCTTATAAGATGTTAATATATAAATATACATGAATGTGTGAACAAACAAACACTAAACAAAATATCTTTGTTCATATGCCAGGTGAGTGAGGTGGGAAGTAGGGGTGGAGTGTGACGTCGGCATGTAGATGTAAAGGGTAAACAGTTTGAGGACTACCTATTTAGCTGATCTAAAATCAATAGTATTAAAGTAACAAGTTTGATTTTTAGAAAAAAGGTAACAAAATGGCCAATATTTTCTATTGTGTTTAATTCTATGCAATCTTAAAAAGGATTTTTCTTTTTTCATATAAGAAACAGCTCTTTCATGCATATATATGCCTTTTCTGTCTGTCTATGAAACCAACTTAAAAGTACAGTTGCCCCTCCGTTTTCATGGGGGGGTCTGATGTGGATCCCCCCACGAAAACGGAAAATTGCTAATATTCAAGTCCCATTGGCTTGAATGGCGTGCATCCCATTTTGTCCCCCTCCATTTGCTGCCTGCGAACGGGCAAGGGACGCAGACTCCCAAGTCCGCAAAAATGGAGGAGCGACTGTAGTGTGCTTTCCCTACTCTCCTACTATTTGATTCATATGCAAATTTCTTCTGAGCGAATGGTTTATATCTTACATTAAATCAACAGCTCTAATTTAGTGGCAGCAGTAATATGGAGACTTCTGTCACACATGTGATATCCTTCCTGGTGTGTGTTGTCAGATCTTGCAGAGGGAACAAGCATCTTGGGAAGCAGATCAAATGTATAGCTTGTAATTGTTCTAGGATGCCCTGCTACATTGCTGGAAATGTTTACATGAACCATATCTCCTTTACATGAGCCAGGGCAAGATCTAAGATCTGCAGGGGAGGGCTTTCTTTGAGTCCCACCACTTTCTCAGGTGCAGTTGGTGAGGACTTTGTAGAAAGCCTTCTCAGTGGTTGCTCTAAGGTTGTGGAGCTCCCTTCCACAAGAGGTCCGGTTGGCCCCCCTCCGGTCTCTTTCCATAAGTAGGTTGAGACATTTTTATTTAGACAGGATTTTGAATTTTAACTATGGAGTTGCAGTGTGTGAAGTGGTATGTTCTCTCTCTCTCTGCATATATGTATATACAGTGGTCCCTCCCCATTCGCAGACTTTGAGTCCACAGTCTCGGTCCTTTGAGGACCAGCAAGCTGGAAGGGATAAAATGGCGTGAGCGCCCATGGTGCCCACTGCCATTCAAGCCAATGGGGCTTGAATATTTGCAGTTTTTCATTTTTGCGGGGTGTGTGTGTGTATCCAGAATGGATCTCCCCATGAAAATGGAGGGGCGACTGTATATACCTTTTGTTGAAATTGTGTTTTAAATATGTTTTCAGTGTTTTTAGCATTTTAGTTGCTTTTAATCATGTTTTTAATAATGTTGCTGTTTAATTTATTTTTAAGTTTCAAAAAAGTTTGGACCGTTTAAAAATTATTGTAAGCTGCCTTAGGCACCAGCATGGTGTAGTGATTTGAGCGTTGGGCTACAACTCTGGTGACCAGGGTTCAATTCCCAGCTCGGCCATGAAACCCATTGGGTGACCTTGGGCAAGTCACATGCTCTCAGCCTCAGGGAAAGGCAATGGCAAACTTCCTCTGAAGGAATCTTGCCAAGAGAACCCCATGATAGGTTCACCATAGAGTTGCCTCAGGTTGGAAATGACTTGAAGGCATATAATACAAGCTTCCTTTGGGTCCCATTTTGGGAGAAAGGTGGGATCTAAGTCAGAATCAATCAATAAAATGAACCTGGAGTGGCATGAGAGCACTGAGAAAGGTGGTAGCAGCCCAACTGCAGAAAGGGAGTACATTGTAAAGTGGGAAGGGTGGTCAGGTGGGTTGTAACATTCTTGCCCCTTGAAGTGAAAATAAATAGAAGTAGAATTCTCTCTAAGAAATGTTGGAGTTACTTGGTCTGAGACAGGGGTAGGCAACCTTTCCCCTTTAAGGGCCGAGGGACTTCAGCTCCCAGAATCCCAGGAGCTATTGGCCAACATAGGACTATTGGCCAACATGGCTGAGGCTTCTGGGAGCTGAAGTCCCTCGGCCCTTAAAGGGGAAAGGTTGCCTACCCCTGGGACTCTGAGAGGTCTTTGCCTGTGACCAGGGCTGGCCCTATCATTAGGGAGAGTGAGCCAGTCATCTGGAGAAGCAGATGTTAGGAGTCAGCAGCAAGGTTTTGAAGGAGAGAGCTATATGTTTCCCTGTGCAGTAGAGGATGCTGTCCTATGGACAGTTTTGAAAAAAGATTCATCTGCCAGTTCCATTGCATGGAATGGAAAGAAGGAGCATCTTGTTCTTTACGTTTTGAAGCAGAGGAATGTCTTGGGCTAGTCCTGCCTGTGTCTAAGCCTTGCTTTGGGGCCTTTTGCATGAATGCAACCTGATCTTCCAGGTAGCACCAGGGCTTAGAAATTGACTCTTTAAAGATATTTGTTATGTAACATGTCATAAAGCCTTGCAACCATTAATATAAAAATTCCTTTTAGCACATTGTGCTATGTGTGGCTTTTCAGTAACCCTTTTTGGGGAAAATCAACTAAAAAGGAATAAAGTAGTTAAACATTAAAAAAAAAAGATCAAAATGCCTCCAAAGAATTTTAGCCAAAGAAGCAGTGAACAAGAATTACTTTTTCCATGAGACAAGTGGCATTACCAGTAGCTGTGTTGTTTTGCAAAAGGAATGTTGTTAGGCCCTCATTACTCCCAAAAGTTGAACCCTTGTCTCCTGGAACGTGTCAACAGGTGACGTTGCTTGCAACATTAGCTGTGATAGTTAGAACATTTCTTTTTGTCCACCTGGGCATTCCTCACAATGAATCCTTTACATTTGTCATGACAAGCCTTTTTTATTGGTATATTGTGTTATATTTCTAGGGATTGCTGAGCAAGCAGAGCCAAGAGAAGCATTTGGAAATGGAAGTTTTGGAACAGCTGAAATATACTGGCTGTGTGGTCAAAGAGACTCTGCGTCTGAGCCCGCCTGTTCCAGGAGGATTCAGGGTGGCACTCAAGACTTTTGAGTTAAATGTAAGCAGGAGAAGTCAATTTTCAAGAAGTTTCCCTAACATCTCAATCCAAAAAGTGTTGCTTGTCATACTCTAAGGATAATGTAAAAGGACAATAGGCAGAAGTTCTGGAGTGTGTGTGTGTGTAGGATATCAGCGGAGGGATTGTTACAATGAAATGTCCCCTCCCAAATCTGCTGATCAAAGGATAGTAGTTTAGATACCAGCCATGGCTTTTATCCCTTTAAAAGATGAAGACAAGCAAGCAAGAAAAGCACCTTGAAAAGGTGTTGTTTCAGCATCACTACGATTCTGTAGGACAAGCCTTATCTGTTTATCTCTGTCCAATTTTTACAAAATGTGTTTAGTTATTCATTAGTCCAATTATATGATCAGAGATATTATACTACACTACATTGGTGTGCGTAAGTAACATCAATGGTATTTGGTTGTATATCATGTATACTAATAGTAGTCTTGGTTCTTTGAATGCCAGTCCTTCCATAGACACACAAGTAGGAGTAGGTCAGTGGGTCTGTAGAAGTATAGATGTTTTAAGAGGAAAACTCCGTCCCTGACAGCTCTCCACACCTGTTCAGTGATGACTCTACATTGTTGTAGAGGACACAAAATAAGAAAGAAAATGGGAAAGGGATGAAATGCAATGTCTGGATTCTTGGACAGAAATAAATGCTACAGCATTTTGTTGCAGGTTTCACTTATGGTATTAATATAGGAGTGTATAGGCAGGGTGTAAATCAATGAACAAACTAACCAATCTGTGAGTAGGAAAAGAGGAAAACTAAATTACAGATGGATTGAGGCAATCAATCTACAGCCCTGAGTTTGCAAGACCTGAGCAGAGCTGTTGATGACCAGGGCTTCTGGAGATCTCTCATTTGTGTGGGGCCATCATAAATCAAAGTCAGTTTGATGTCACGTAACAAACAAACAACATAAAGCAAATAAATGAATACATCAGCCAATCTGGGACCCTCCAGGTGTTCTTAGGAGAGTATCACACTATCAGTTATAGCACAAACCAATCGGCACGGTTCTGATTTGGCAACACTCCTGGCTGCATGACTCAGTGCACAAACTGCTGTTATCTTGCATTAAATCCACATGGGTGAATGACTGCAATTACGTGATAATACTACCTCCAGCAACCAAGGAGGTCACTGGATGCACCGTTGTTGTGTGATCTCGTGAGCTTGTCAGCACGAGACTTCACTGCTCCCTCCCTTCTAGTGACATCGAAGTCAGACAATTACGCATCTTTTTTTTTTTAAAAAAGGTCACAATCTCAATAATTTGGTTAGTTCCTGCCACTTTTGTTGCAAATACATCCTGGTTTTCAGAGTGTGATCTAATGCACAACAGCAGTACTAAGGTACGGTTTCATTTATTTTGGGTTGCCAATGGATTAGCGTCATGGTGTGATAATCTTCTTAAACTCAGAATCCCAGCAACACCACCTAGGGTACCCATAATCATAATGTAGCCCAGCAACATCTGGTCAGCCCCAGGTTCTCCAATGATAAAATCCTTTTATCTGTAGATACCTCCTCCTTATATAAATTCTAACAAAAACTGTGTCTCAGGCACACTTGGGAAGAGTTCATATTGGCAATATATTTGTTGTTGGCAAAATGGCTGGGTAAATGAGACAAGTAGAGTATGTTGGAGCCTGTGTGGTGTAGTGGTTTGAGTGTTGGCCTACCGCTCCAGAAGACAAGGGTTCAAATCCCTGTTCAGCCACAGAAATCTAACGGGTCACCATAATAAGCAAGTCATTTTCTCCCAGCTTAAGCAGAAGCCAATGGCAAACCCCCATTGAATAAATCTTGCCAAGAAGAATCTGTGATAAGGCTGTGATAAAGTTGACTTGAAGGCACATAACAAACAACATATGAGAGAAACCTGTTAAACTCTTTTGTGCTATTATTCCTCCTTTGTTTGTTTCTTGTAGGGCTACCAGATCCCTAAAGGCTGGAATGTCATTTACAGTATCTCTGACACCCATGAAGTTGCTGAGCTGTTCACCAACAAAGAAGAATTCAATCCTGATCGCTTCATGTCTCCTTTCCCAGAGGATGTCTCACGTTTTAGTTTCATCCCTTTTGGAGGAGGCTTGAGAAGCTGTGTGGGCAAAGAGTTTGCCAAAATTCTGCTGAAAATCTTTACTGTTGAATTGGCCCGGAACTGTGACTGGCAGCTTATAAATGGACCACCGACAATGAAAACTGGCCCTACTGTGTATCCAGAGGACAATCTACCTGCAAAATTCACAAGTTTTAATGGTCAGGTCTAATGAATTCAGTTAAAATGATGCACAATAGCTTTTTATAGCGCCCTAAATCCAATATTATATATTTAACTTTATGAACGTGTGATAGATATTTATGTGTTTTTTCTAAAAATATTTTAAAGCTATTTCATGTATAAACCTTGGTGTGTGTTTTTTAAAAGCAAGCACTACAATTATGGGTCCTTGGGATTCATAGTTGGATAATTTTATTTCTATAAAAATAAGTGTCCTACTATTTAAGAATGACTTTCAAAGTTTGTTACCTTATTATTTTGAAAGCATTTAATCTGTGTGCACTACATCTGTATCCAGACATGTATATGGTGACAAGTTAAAAAACCCCACAAAAACCTAAAAGCTTAACCCAATAAATTTACACATACCTGGTGAACCAAAAGGTTATAGTGTGGCATGTGTAAAAATAAACCTGAAGAGTAGATAGTTGAACATTTGCTTACATTTGCGGAAAATGTAATTTAATGCGAAAGACCTGTTGCTAGCTATGGAATTTGGTTTAAAGTAGATTTGTGCTAGTGGTGTTAAGGCAGTCTGACCAACTTCTGTATTCTTTAGATCACACAGAGACAACCTGGTGTCCTCCAGATGTTTTGGATGGCAATTTCCATCATCCATTGGTTGTGCTGATAGTTAATGGTAGCTCAAAACATCTCCATCATGCCTGGTTGATCGATGCTCTTGCCTGGTCGGAGATGGGGGAATTCTAATTCCCTCTTGAATCATTGAGGCCTAACAATTAAATATAATCTATTTTATTTATTTTAATAACCTACCAGAAAGGTTAGTTGAATTCTGGACCATGTGTGCTCAGAAGGCATAGTTGGTGGATGTCTATGTGTTGGGGGGAGCATGAGATAGTAAAGACCTGTCTGAAAATACCCTTCCAAGGTAATTAAGTATCCTTTTCCAGACTTGGTCCTACAAACCTGATTGCCTAAGAGAAATAGGGTCCCTCCCTTCATTCCATGGAACCTGATGGGCAATGAGATAATGTTCCCCACCACACTTGAGGGCAGCATTCTAGTTTTGTGTATGCGTGCATGTGTGCATGTGTGCTGGGGGGGACCACACAGCCCTTGTCTGCCAAAGAATGGAAATGTTGAACAAGTATGGTTCGGGTAAGTCTGCTACTGCTAGCCCTAGCCCCTGCTGTTTAATATGAAAAAGCTAGCTTGTGGTCTGCTGGAGGTTTCAAGTCATCTGTAATTGCAAAAATGTCTGGCAAGTAGGTTAAAAAAGCCTTCCTCCAAACTAGGTTTAAAGGTGCATTGGTCACTCCTGAAGTAAACGCTCCCTCCTAGACATCATACCCTCCAACGGTCCCAATTGGGCAGGGGCAATGAGGTTTAATCCTTTGTCCTCCCACTTTTTCAGCTGCTTTGTAAACGTCCTAGATTCTCCTTCCTAGTCTCCTTTTCTCCTTTTGTCTTCTGTTTACTTCAGTTGCTGCAAACTGAGTTCAAAGTACAAAAGTAAGGTAGGGGGGAGAAGAGAGGAGGAAGCACAATCTTGCCTTTCCAATAGGCGCAGGCAAAAGCAAACTGTTGCAGCCTCTCCTAGCTTGTGTGTTTGTCTCCATTAATAATGTTTGGCATCTTGACCACACTTCGATGTTGGTTGGCCACATGTGTCCTGGTTTTCATGCATGAAATACTGGAGGGGATGTGATGTCCCCACTCCTTCTTTTCAGCAGTGTACCTGCTATAATAAAAACACTCATGCATTTAAGGGCTTTTTTAAATGAAGAAAAGAAGATGATGACAGGAGAACATACAGCATTATGGCAAGAGACAAGATCCTTTTCATTTATGGTGTAACATGGAGCAACCTCCCCATTTGGGGCAATACATGAATCTAAGAAGGGCATTCATTGCCTTTTACCTGAAAGTCTCAACTACATAATGA